GGCCTCTTCGTTGGCGGTGCTGACTGGCGCGCAGAGCACGCGCCTTAGGAGGCGATTTGGGAACTGAAAACGGCGCCCGGCCCCTTCCGGCTGGGCCTTGAATCAGCTTGCCTGTTGTGAGCTCACATGCTGCCATTTCTCCTGCAGACCCAGCATGGCCGCCCAAGGAGAGCCCCAAGTGCAGTTTAAGGTAAGGGAGTGGTTTGTGGGTTTGTTGGGTTTTTTCTTTCATTTATTTTTTTTTTTTTCCTTCAGTACAAAAGTAGCACGAGTGAACTCTTGAGTGCCAACGTGGATGGTAGATCTGTTTTTGAAGTGCCGGTCTTTCCTTAACGGTGCAATTAGTTTATTGTTGTATTGCCTATAACTTGTACAAAAAGATTCTGTTGCACTCTGTCAATCTGATGCTATTTGTAGCTTAGTGTAATAAATTTTAGTGATGCTTCGCTTATAGAAGGATTCTTAAATTTCGGAAGTGAAGTTCACAGTGAAAAGTACTTAGAGTGAGTTAGAATAATTTGGTTTTTGAATTAATTGTTTAGGAAAGGAAAAAAAATGCTGTGCAAAACATCAGAAAACTCTTTTCTGAAACATTTTGAGTTATCTTAACAGCCAGAAGTCCTTCAAACTGCTTCATGAAAGGTTTTTACTTGTGTTTCTTGTGATACTTGACTAGAATATTCTAATTGCTGGTAGTGCAGTTGTTTGGGGTTTCGTTGTCGTGTTTGGTTTTTTTTTTAATTGTAAGGTTACAGTGGGTTTCTCCAGTTTGGGTGCTTAAATGAGTTCCTATCTAAATATGATCATATACAGGTTGAAAACCCCAAATATTCTTCATTCAGTTGCTTGTAGTTTAGTAGAACTATATTCACAGTGCATTGTAGTTTTCAGCTACAGGATCTAGATAAGTCTAACTAGAGTTATAGCGTGATAGGCACAACAAGTTGGGTCCCAGTACAGTGAATTGCTTCACGGGGAATTCAGACTTTTGTTTACAACGTCTTGTAGGACTAAGATCTTTATAGTAATAATTAGTATTTACACTAAAATGACCAATAAATGTCTCTTGAAGTGTATTGCTCTAACTACTTTGCCTTTATCTATCAACAGCTTGTCCTGGTTGGTGATGGTGGCACTGGTAAAACAACATTCGTAAAACGTCATTTGACTGGTGAATTTGAAAAGAAGTATGTAGGTATGTTTGAAGAAGCATTTGAGATCTAGTATGTTACAATTCAGAGTGCAATTCATGACTTGCTAAGTGCACTGCTTTTTTTCTTATTACTATAGCAACGCTGGGTGTTGAAGTTCATCCTCTGGTGTTCCATACTAACAGAGGCCCTATTAAATTTAATGTATGGGACACAGCTGGCCAAGAGAAGTTTGGTGGATTGCGAGATGGCTATTACATCCAAGGTAAGATGCATGTGTATGTGGGAATATTCTGTACATCTGACAGTTCAATCCTTCATTCTCCATGTTGGACACTGAAAGGTGTTAGTGTGGTTTGCAGTGATGAGCTGATTTCTGGGTCTTCAAACTCTTCATGTAGATAGGATAATTTCCTTTGCTAGGCAACTTGTGCTGATGTAGGAGTATTCTAAGGTTGTATTTCAGTATGGTGTTGCAGGCTGTGGTATTAATGAAGAGTAATGGTGCACCTTAAATGACAAGATGCTGCTGATGAAATTCAGTGGTTAAGAGGTGAAAGTATGTGCTTCAGTTAGTACAAATTTATGTCTGTATTAACGTGCTGTGCTGAGGCAAGGACTTGAAACTGTAAGATTTCTAGAAATAATGATGAAGTTGTACATCTCCATGCCAGAGTCTAGTTCTCTTTCTCAAGAAGTACTAGTAGTGTCCCTTACTTCTGCTTGGCCAAGCTCTGTTCTGTGTGTACTTCAGTCACCTGCATATCTTAAAAATTTTGCAAGAAGTATCAGAATTGAGTCAAGCCCTCATGTTCTTTGAAAAACTTCTCTGGACAAGGGCGTCCTGAGATGTGGACTACAAGCTCTCAGCCTGCCTGAAAGCCTCAATAGGATATTTGAGAGTAGTTAAATAGGAGTTAACTAATTTCTGTCAAATATTTGTGTAAATCAAAGTTGACCTTTGTAATCCTTGTATAGTCTCAGACCATGCAACACTGTGTCACTCTGTGGATGAGTTGCATTGATAAAACTAGCTGGTGTTTTAAGATGGGACACTAAAGGTGTGAGATGACTTGGTCACTGACTGAGTTCTGGGAACTTGTGCCTTGAACTGGTTAACAGAACATGGGCTCTCAGAACTGTGAAGCTGAGGGAAAAGCTAGTGCAGATGCTTAACCCTAATGTGGGATTTCTACGGGTATCTCTTCTCTCTCCCATCTTCTAAGCAAATAACTCGACTACTCTTTTCTTGCAGCTCAGTGTGCCATCATAATGTTTGATGTAACATCAAGAGTTACTTACAAGAATGTACCTAATTGGCACAGAGATCTGGTACGAGTATGTGAAAATATCCCTATAGTGTTGTGTGGCAACAAAGTGGATATTAAGGACAGAAAAGTCAAGGCAAAATCCATTGTCTTCCACAGGAAGAAGAATCTCCAGGTATGTTGGCATGAGTTTGTAGGAATAGAATTTGTTGGGTTTATTGACTGCAGTTGGGTTCTGTGCAGTAATTGAGTGTTCTGCCTTTGTCACAACAGGCTATAGTATTTCAACTTTATATTCTGTTCACTATTTGAACCTAACTTCAGGGAAGGGGGAAGTGATGATGTGAAGGATGATCATCACTGGTCTTGAGCAGAAGCTATGATAAGTTCTTAAAGAGCTTGTGTGCATTTGGCTTTCACTGCTCAGGATCTCAGCAGATGACACAAGTGAGATTAAAGTAGATCAAAGATAGGTGTACTGTTGCCTCCTGAAAGTCCCATATTTGATCAGATTGGGTGCCTTTCTTTTCAGTTACCAATTTCTGCGTATTTGCCTGAAACTATGTTTCTAGACACTTAGAGCATAAACATTTCTGAGAGCATAAACGGAAGTCGTGGTCAGAAAGAGTACTAAGGTAAAAGCAGAGCTGATAATGTGCATGTTAATCTTGGTATGCCCTAAATATCAGTTAGAGATGTTTTTTTAGTAATGTGTAATATGTACTATTTTTGCAGTATTATGACATTTCAGCGAAGAGTAACTACAACTTTGAGAAGCCTTTCCTCTGGCTTGCTAGAAAGCTAATTGGAGATCCTAACTTGGAGTTCGTTGCCATGCCTGCTCTTGCACCACCTGAAGTTGTTATGGACCCAGCACTGGCAGCACAGTATGAGCAAGACTTACAGGTAAGTGAGAACAGGCACAAAGGTCGAATGCCTAATAACTAGTGTTTAGACTCCTGGGTCAAATAACTGAAGAACAGTTCTTAAGTGTAACTTCTTTGTTCCAGATTGCTCAAACTACCGCACTGCCAGATGAAGATGATGACCTGTGAGGGATGAAGCTGGAGCCCAGCGTCAGAAGTCTAGTTTTATAGGCAACTGTCCTGTGATGTCAGTGGTGCAGCGTGTTTGCCACTTTATTATCTAGCTGAGCAGAACATGTGCTTAATCTTTGGGATGCTGAAAGAGATGAATGGGCTTCGGAGTGAATGTGGCAGTTTAAAAAAAAAAAAAAACCAAACAAAACACACAAACAAAACAATGAAAAAAACAAAACAAAAAACTTCGTATTTTGGACCTCCGTATTTAGCTGTTTTTTGGACTGCAATTACTTCCCCTTTTGAGTTTCAAATATAAGACTGCTGCAGTCACATCAGAGTGTTAAGTGGTAAATCTTGTTTCTGTCATTCCCATTCTTTTTTGTTTAGATAATAAAGTTGTATTTCAAGTATCTCTAAGCAAGTGAACTTTCATGCATTGTTAGGAAAACTCTTCAAAGTGTCTTCTATTCTTCAATTGAGCCTAATATTTGGTTGTCTACTGCATTTCTCGTTCTCCTTTTCCCTCCTTCTCATGTTATGCTCCTCTTGCTAAATCAGAGCTAACAGTGAACCTTCCATTTATTTTTCTGAAGCATATAACTAAAGCACCTGAGGAAAGCTGAACTAACTGCAAGGTAAAACTAAAGCAGTGAAAACATGACTGGTAAGTGTTACTGCATCAACATTCCCATGCATTGGGAATGTTTGTGGTCTGCAGGGTTTCTTGAGAGAAAAGTGTGTAGTTCAGCTTGCATATGCTACCATTAGATAGAGTTTCCTAACTCTCTAACTTCCTGTGTTCTACAACATGACTTCACAGAGCTCTGTATTTTTAGTAGCCGGAAAGAAATGGCATCTAGGTCTGGTCCAGTAGGTGACTTAAAAACTGTATCTTGGCATGGAACATCATTCAGTAGAGCTATAGCTGATCAAACAGACTTGTTCTAAGCATCTTGAAATTCACTAACTAGAAAACAGCTGTACTTTGAGCTAGAAAGCTCTTGGCTACAAAACAGCATATTAACTAAAACCACATTATATAAATATCTAGACTTTACTGTAACTGCACCAAGTTCTTAATTTGAAACTAGCTTATTACAGCACAAATGGTGGAAAACAACTTCTAACACTATCTTGTAGAGATTAATCTTGGTCAATATTAATACTCCTAGTAAACAAAACTAAGTTTAAGATACCATTTTTCAGTAGTGTTTGAGTACATGAAGCCTTGAACTCTTCAGTTTTGTATTTTTGGTTTCTTAATAAAGTGGAGCATTTCATTTATTCCTTTTAACTTGCATGTTTGTGTACATAACTTCTACTTGAATATTTAACTATTGAACTATTCTGGTACATGGTAGCAAAAAGTGTGAACTATGGTTATTCTGCAATACTGTTGTAAAGGAGTAATTTTTAAGTTAGTGCAAGTTGGACTTCTCGGGTTTTTTGGGGGGTCTTTTTTGTTTGTTTTTAGCTAGTTAATGAGGAGCCAAGTTTTGGCATTTAGGACTTGACACTAATGAAAATAAGGAACGTCACACGCTTAGTATGTAAAAAGACAAACTCCCACTTAATGTTCCATTGAGTCGTCTTGTTGCATCATGTTGCTTTAACTTTGTGTTGTAGGTTCTTGCCTGTAGTGCTCACTAATTAACCTGTGCATATCTTGGTTAATGCTGCTAGCTTGGCTATCTGCTGCTGCTTTCCTAGGTGTGGTAGCTTTTTTGTCTTCAAGCTGTCTCATTTCTGAAAATGCACTGCTTAAAAAACGATCTAGAAAACTTCAGTAGATCTGCAGTATTCATAATGCCTTAAGAAAAGAAACGGCAGCACTGAAGTGTTTGTATTGTTTCATAGTATGTGTATGGTGTCATCTTTACAACTTGCCTGCTGCATACAGATACTAGTCTTAGTACGAATTCCTACAGAACGGATGGAAAGACTTACGAAAACTGAAAGGGCCGTGTTAAGGACTAGTATAACTGCTATGAGCTTTGCTTTGTAAGTTCCCAAGTCCACAAAAGCTCATCTCTGAAGTAGGCAGTAATACTGGACCTGCTGTAAAGTAATCTCTTTAACTTGAAATGTTTTGGGAGTGGAATTAAGTCCACTTGTTGTAGCGTTATACTTGGTTTGTCACATTTAGTCCCTGTTAATTGTTGATTATAAGTAATGCAGGAAGCCTTAATATGCATGTGCAGATTTCTCAGTTGAAATTCCTTAAACGTAACACTTCTCACTGGTTGTATTGTGCAGATTTCTCAGTTGAAATTCCTTAAACATAACACTTCTTACTGGTTGGATTCAGGCAAAATAAAGTTTTATCTATTTAGTCAAGTAATGGGGAAAATAAAACTTGCATTCTAAATGCTCCATACTAAATAGTCACATCAGTCTGTATTAGAGCTCTACCATTATCAGGACTGAATTGATGAGACTGAAATCCTTCATTGCAATACCTACTTTGTTCTACTTGCTTGACTGCTGTATGG